ACTCGGTGATTCCGAAGTGAATGAATTGGCTTGTAGAAACTTGGTCACAGCAACTCGGTGAAACCGATCGCAATATCGATGGGATCGAAATTCCAGGGTTTTGGCTCTGGCGGTGTATAGGATCAACTCAGTGGGTCCAATATGGATATTTTCGGTGGGACCAAGATGAAATTTTAGGGTTTGGACGTATGTGAAGTGGAGAAGGTGGAGCAATAATATTGGCTTTCCTATGGACTCAATGTGATCATGAATCACTTAACCAAAAATGTAGAGTCTTGAAACTTTGACAATCCATGTCCTTTGCATTTTGAGGGGTCCACATTCTCATGTCCATGCCATGCCAATCATTGATCTTTTCTAAAATCTATTTTCAATAAGCATTAGATCAATGGTATATATGTTGCTATGATTTACCAAAACCACCCGGGATTAGTTGCACTTTTAGATGTGCAATACTTATGGCACATATAGATGTGCTTTAGCAAAACTTATTTCAGATAGCCCAACACACCACTACAAGGTCATTTGTGTAAAATTTCTCAACTTCTGGAAAAAGACATAACACGAGGTATAAAACTGCCAAATATTATTAGGACAAAGATCTGTACCAAACACAACACCAATAGTACGCCAGGCTACTCTAGCAACATGACAAAGGAAAAATAAAGGGCCAATTACATGTCAGCCCTTAACTCGAACCCAAGATTTACCCCTAATTCTCAAGTCTGATTAAATCTGGTCTTCTTCCGTTAGGTGCCCTTATGTACAATGCCCGTCTGTGACATTTTCGTCCAATCAAAGGGCTTCAATCGTCTGTCGGATGTTTCCTGGACATTTTTGCCCCTTTCTTCCGTATGTCCCCTATAGGTGGGACCCTCATCGCTAGAAAAAATAAAAGGAAAAACTCTCTCCCATATCTTTCTTTCACTTAAATGTGGGGCCTAACTAGAAAAAACCAAAAGAAAAGGAAACAAATATAAAAAATCCATGACCAAAGTGTATGACAAGTGCACCAGGACCTAGTCAAGTCGTCATCCATTGATTGGGTCAACATGAGACTGGGCCCACTTGCCACAGGCTAGTTATTTTAGATTGATTTAATACACCACCAACAGATTAATTACCTAATATTAATACCCACATGATAGATTAATTACCTAATCTAACAGTCCCACGTGGCGGTGGGGGCCACTAGCAATAGCTTGGCCGACTCAAATCAGGTAGCGCCGGTGATGGGATGCGTGAGCACGTATGGAGGCGAGCATGATGACACATGGGTGCAAGGAAGAGGGGCGGCCTGCGGTCGACCTAGGTCTCGAAGCGTTGCACCCTGTCCAACATGTACAACGGAAAAACTACTGAGTGGCGTCTCTAACAACGACGACGACCTACGGAGCTTGGCATCACGGTAAGGATGCCTCGATGTCACGAGACTTAGATGGTAAGCTTACCACATAGGGTACAAAGGGGGAGGGAGGCAGGAGGGGGATTCACGCTTTCATGTACGCAGGCTATATGCAGACCAACAAACCATGTGCACAAAATGATTTTTGGCCTATATTAGCTCAACATGTCCCAGCCGCCAAATGTAGGGAGAGAAAAACAATGCAGGCTATCAAACATCTCCTTAAGAATTTTTTCGATCATCTCATGCTAGGCACATTGTTGTGGTAGCTCAGGAGATTGCAAATTTACTTTTAATAATAGTTCAGATGGTATTATTTGTAGTAGTTTTCTGTCCTGCATGGCCTATGTTGTAAGGAATGATTATAATTCTCCCTTTAACTAAATTGGTATATGGGTGGATTTTTTCAAAGAAAAAGTTTTTTTCCTGAAAATGGTAGGATTCATGCACTCATTAAGAAGAACAAAGTTGACTGGTTAATTAGAAAAAACCGAGCGAAAACTAGATTGCCCAGTTAATTATGTAAAATCGGGTGAAAAACCATATGATCGTTGACCAACACACATAAGATACCCCCACACCACTCCAAAGAGGGTCTACCTGAGATAACACACAAGCATCATCGTCATCACTTCTCCCCCTGGAGGCGTTAGTGCCATCCCTAAACCCTGAGAGACCGACTCCGACTTTGTCGTAGGAGATCGTCGACTCAACCCACATGGTAGAGGCCGTGTGGAGTTGTATGAAGATCTGTGCCAGAACTTAGCCACCTATGACCAGACAACGCAGCTCCGACTCTGATGGAGAACTACGAAGGAGAACTAGGCATGAATGGCGCCGCGGACGATCACCGAAGGAACCACCTGCTGCTCGTCATCGTACGCTACTGGGACCCGCCACCGCAGCTTCGACTCATAGGAAAAAACCAGCCAAGGCAATCCTGCGAACATGCCGGAGAAGAGCCGACTACCCCAACCATTGCCCCGTCTCCGACATTGCTCCCCCATCATCTTTGTTGCCACAGAAGTCTCGACGCCAACACTGATGTTGACGACCGACGTCGAGAGCAACCTCGCCGCCCACATGACATGAGGTCAACGAGCTCGATGCCGCCAAAAACTCGGGGCCGTTGCCCCGACTTTCATCCGCCACGACACTACCTACGCAGCCCACCAACACCACCTTCCAGAATCTCTGCCTCGACATGCCACTGCTCACTCTAGAGCTGCAACGCTGCATGAACCGAATGCTCGCAACCCATGCTGCACAGACAACCTCACGTAGACCACGAACGTTGCACCACATCTAGGGTCGCCGTCCCGACATATTGTCCAATCGCATCCACTGGGGTGCCGCCTCGCGCGTGGCTTTTCGAGGCCACTACCTAAACGCACATCAGTCGCCCGGTGCCACTACCCCAGCATCCACCAAACCTGACGCGGGAGAAAACTAGCCGCACCAAGCACAAGCTAGATCTCCCAAGCAACGCCTTCAAGGGGGAAACGACAAAGACGCTGCCGCCCCAAGCCCCTCATAGCGGAACATGAGTTCCATGACGATGCATCCAAGGAGGGAAACGATGCCCAAAAGCGCCGCCGTCAACGACATCAATAGAGTGGGGTCAAGGCTTTTGTCCGGAACTCTTCCTTCCCTACTGAGAGATAGGCCTACAGAGATGGACCACCCGTGAGTGTGTAGATCATCAAAGCCATTCTGTTGTGCCTTGTCCCCTCTGTCGTCAACCACCGAGCTCAACTGCGACATCATGCACAACAACACCTCAATCTCCGAGTGAAATGCCAACGCACACGCCAGGACTTCAACCAAACAGGGATCCATCGGATGAACCAATCCCAGCCACCACCACCACCAAGACGCCATGGTCCACGGCCCAGGCCGCTGCCCGGCTTCATCCTTGATCCCCAAGCTCCGAATGTCGTCCAGCAAGCCGCGGCGGGTTGCCGCACCAGATCCGTTGACTCCTTGCGCAGAAGACTGCACCAGTACGCAGCACCGCACCCTGCACTACTGCCACCCCGATGCTGCACTGGAGGACCACAAAGCAGGAGGCACCCCGCCATAACCCGCCAGAGTGCCGCCATGATCAACCGACATTGTACCTCGCATATCCAGTGCATGTCAACCAGCGAGAGGGACGCTCCTCTACACCGTGAGTGCATGAGGGTCCCGTTGCCGTCGACCGACAGCGTCGACGGGAGGGCGTGAGTGGAAGGGCGGCGGTGATGGATGTTGTTTCCGCCCGAGCCGCCCGAGGAGCAACGCGGGGGCTTCACTGAATACTATGCAAAGATGGTATACTGATTAAAAGGGCCCGTCTATTTAGCAGGTGTGTGTAAAAAAAGTTTCAATCAGTCGCTTTCTTTCCTGGCGATGGGATCAATATCCAACGGCCTCAATCATGCCGCGGACTGTTCATCTTCTTACTCCTGACATGTAATCAAATGGTGATTGAGCGGGTCTTCCCGCCACAAGCCTCTGACTCCTTCAAATTCTTGCTTTTCTGCAGCACCGACACCCGCTCTCTAGGTAGGTCGGACGCAATAGGCTCAGACTCATGCTGGATGCGCTTATTATTATCGTGTGTCGCTTATCTTCTTCCTAGGGCTGCATGTTGGCGCCACTCGGTGCCTTTTTTTTCTTCTTCTTATCTCTCTTTTTCTTTCTTTGGGCGTGAGTGCATTGATGCCCCAGCCATCGTATTTGCTATGACATTTGGATGTTGGTTGGTTTATTTATAAAGTAGGGTGAAAGACTATTTTGAGACAATCTTCTTCCTCCAGACACCAGTTCTTTCTCCCCCGCCCCTTCCACCTGCCTCCACTCCCCCGCCCTTGCTCGCCATCGCCCCTCCCATCTCTCTAAGGCCTGCACCCTGCACCACCGGAGAAAAGATAGATAATGAGGCTATGGCTTCTCTGGCAAGCTCGGGGTGAACTAGAAAATGTGACTAACACCAAGACCGGATAAAAAAGGGAGACGGTGACCACATTGCTGAGCACCCGCGGAGGTGCATTGTTGTCACGTGTGGCGCAACACCCGGCCAGGCCGGCAGGCCGGCGATGCTAAACAATACGGACAACTCAACTTGCGGTGGCATCATTGGTGCTTGCTGTTCACACCGAGTCCAAACATCATTACGTACTAGAGTACTACTACTTGTTTTTTCTTCCAATTAGCAAAGATCAAATCTCACGGCGTGTCCTCAACAACGATAACGAGAAAAGAACTGTTTGAGGATCGTAGCTGACGACGCTCCCTTCCCACTCTAGTTTCGGCCGATTCAATCGTTTTCCGTTGACAGCGATATCCATCTCTCGGGCGCGGGGCGTCATCATTGACACCACGACCGCCGTCGCAGACGCCCGATTCCCCTCTCGCGGTCCCGCACCGTACAAACCAAACGCAATCCGCAGCCCGCAGTCCCCTTCGATGTTGACGCCCGAGCAAACCCCAAATCTCCACCGCTGAACAGTATATATCATCCGCCCCGGCGCACCCCGTTTCCATCCCACCCAACCCGACCCCCGCGCGTCGGCCGCACCCGTCCCCAGACCCAAGAGCGAGCCAGCCGAAGATGTCCGCCCAAGAAGCCGCCGCCGGAGCCGCGGGCGGCGACGCGCTGTTCTCGCGGTGCCTGCTCGCGCTCTACGTCATCAGCCCGGTCACCGTGTTCCTGCTCCGCTTCGTCTCCGCGCCCTACGGCAAGCTCTCGCGCCCGGGGTGGGGCCCGGCCATCCCGGCCGCGCTCGCCTGGTGCGCCATGGAGAGCCCCACCCTCTGGCTCCCGCCCCTCGTCTCCCCCCTCCCGCTGCTGCTCGCCGCCGCCGCCTCCGTCTCCCCGCTCGCCGCGCTCCCGCCGGCGCTCTACGCGCTCCACTACTTCAACCGCACGGTCCTCCACCCGCTGCGCATCCTCCGCCTGCGCCGCGCCGCGGCGCCCGTGCCCGTGCTCGTCGCCGCCTGCGCCTTCGGGTTCAACCTCCTCAACGCCTACGTGCAGGCCCGCTCCTGGGCGCTCCACGCCGACCGCCCCGCCTCCGCCTTCGCGCTCCCCCGCTGCCTCGCCGGGCTCGCCCTCTTCGCCTGGGGGATGCGGGTCAACGTCGCGGCGGACAGGGAGCTCCTGCGGCTCAAGGAGGCCGGGGGCGGGTACAAGATCCCGCGGGGCGGCTGGTTCGACGCGGTGACCTGCCCCAACTACTTCGGCGAGATCGTGGAGTGGCTCGGCTACTGCCTGGTGGCCTGGTCGCCGGCGGCCTGGGCCTTCTTCCTCTACACCTGCGCCAACCTCATGCCGAGGGCCAGGGACCACCGCCAGTGGTACCTCAACAAGTTCGGCGGCGAGTACCCGGCGTCGCGCAAGGCCGTCATCCCGTGCATCTACTAGCCTCTGCAACTTCTGTCACCCGGGATCGAAGGAAAAATTGGTGTGGCTGAGGACAACTGTAATTCCTTTTCTTCCTTTCCCTAATGGCTGCCTGTGATTGAGGATTGCCTGATTCCATTCCTTTGGAAAACTGAATATGGTTTGCAGAGAATGAACTTTTCTTAATCCTCAACCACATTGTTCTTTGGATCAACATCCAACCATGCTCATCTCACGTATATAACCCGCAGACTAAAAATTGCAAGATATCTCTACGTATAATGTCTGAGTTGGTTGAACAGTATTCACGATTTATTTCCGTCTCACCACTTTGAGTCGTTTTATTTTGCTGGTTTTTTTTCATTCCCTTCCTCATCCTATCAATTTAGTTTCGCATCACCCTCTCACACAACGAAAAAATCTAAACGGATCAGAACTTTTCATACTGATACAAATTATTTAGTAATATCTTTACGTGAAAGAATCAATCACGATCAATCTCTAAAAATCAAATCTAAATTAATTACCATAAATCGCTCAATCACATTAATTAAGAAACAAATAACTAATTTAAAAAAATCTCATTATTAAAGCATTTATGTACCTACTTAATTTGTAATGAAATATTATCTCAGTATTAAACTATTTATGTATCTTTTTTATTTGTAATCAAATATTATCCAATGATAGCAACAAAAAAATGCGGACGCTCATCTCACTTCCGTCGTCCTGCCCTACCACTCGAATAGTCCGAGCGCCACCGCCACCACGTAGCCTCGTGCCCTACCTTATCCCGGATTCCTCTCTCTCCCTCACTTTTTGTCTCTCGTGCACGCTCACGCAGGGGATGGGCCGCTCCTCGTAGACTGCCACCATCCTCCTTGGCATCGTGTCGTCAGCATCTTCGCTAGGTATCGAGGGTTCCAAGAGCTCGGTCTGATCCGGTGTTGTCCGGTTATGAGTCGTGGTCGCCTTTGCCTCTGTCACATCGAGCATCTCTGTGGCCATGGCCGCGCAGATCGTGTGGACCGTCGTCGATGGTGGCCTCTCTATCACTATGCTGCATTGATTCTCCATGTATCTGCTGCATCTGAGGACCTCCTCTAGCAAGGACACATGAGTCAACTCAATGTTGAGGACGGACGACCGCTGCCACGAGGTGAGAGCTGCCTCATCCTGTAAGGAGGTGGGCGATGTCGCCGCCATTCATCACGAACCGACATGGATGCCACTTCCGCTGTGTTGGCATGCTTCTCCTGGATCGACAATGAATATCAGCTCTGCCGAGGTCAGGCTTTCTAAATTCTAATAAACTTTTCTCAATTAGATCGGCTTATTAGATTGTCCAATGGACATAGCATGGAGTAGTGATGTACATCAGGTTTGTAGGCGATGATGGTTTATATCTGCTAGATTCATATAATCGCTTACCTGCAGACCTTGCGCTATATTTTACACTAGGCACGCATGCTAGAAGTGGATGAGAATTTCTGCACGATCCTCAGATTCCTTGAGATTGCACTAACGTGCGTACTCTCCATGATAATAAAGGAGAGAACATCGTTTAATTAATAGTAACAAGACACAATCATCAACTGTAAAAAATAGCAGGTGTAAGATATATATATGCACCGCTTTGCTAGCACCAATAAATCTATTGATTACTCATGCTGCTTCAATTGGGTTGTTACGAAAACATGAAAAGTACTTTAAAATTATTCTAAGTTGTATGACACCCAATAAATATATTGATTAGTCATGCTGCTTCAGTTGGGCTGTTGTCAACGTTGACATTGAAAATTCTACTGCCACCGTTCGTACCCAAGTCTGCATCAGATGATCAGAATACTAACTATTGTAGGTGATGTTCTTTCTTCCCAGTTTTCACTTTTCATTAGGGCCTTATATAAGGTTGATTGACTGGCGGTATGCTTGCTCTGGTCCCGAGAAAGAGGATGAACAGAGAATGATGGTCGATTGCTGCTACTGCATTGTATATCTTGTGAATTGGCAAGTAGTATAGAGTACAAACTGTATAATGTTTGCCTCAAAATAAAAGATTGTACAACCGATACAATTTGTCATATATAAATTATGCTCTTTCATGCTAATTTTATTGCTGCTATTTGCAGATGAAGTGGATACTACCAGTGTGTTACTGTACGATACTGTGGGCATACTATAAAAAAGAAAGTATTAGTGCAGTAACCATATTGCGGACATTTTTGTTGCTTACCACCAATCGTTGGGCTTCCCTATTAGCAAGAAGTCAATTTATGAGTGGAGACATAGCTGCAAGGATGCAGTATTTCAACTTTGAGGTTATTTAAGCTTTTGGATTTCAGATTATAGTTGCAATCAGCAAACATGTATGATCTTGTACTAATGTCTGTCAGTTATCTTTAACCTGTAGAACTTTGTAATTAAATTTGTTTGATATTCTGATTTGGACAATCAGATTTAGGGAAAAACCACTTTGATTACTTTTCACCATTGGATTTATGTCGTATCGCCATAGGACAGAAGGAAACATGCCCTAGAGGCAATAATAAAGTTGTTATTTATATTTCCTTATATCATGATAAATGTTTATTATTCATGCTAGAATTGTATTAACCGGAAACTTAGTACATGTGTGAATACATAGACAAACAGGGTGTCCCTAGTATGCCTCTACTTGACTAGCTCGTTAATCAAAGATGGTTAAGTTTCCTGACCATAGACATGTGTTGTCATTTGATTAACGGGATCACTGTTGGGGATCGTTACAGAAATTTAAAATTTTCTACGCATCACCAAGATCAATCTATGGAGAAACTAGCAAAGAGAGAGAGAAAGAGAGGAGTGCATCTTCATACCCTTCAAGATCGCGACACGGAAGCGTTACAAGAACGCGGATGAGGGAGTCGTACTCATGGCGATTCAGATCGCGGTAGATTCCGATCCAAGCGCCGAACAACGGCGCCTCCGCGTTCAACACACGTGCAGCCCGATGACGTCTCCCACGCCTTGATCCAGCAAGGAGAGAGGGAGAGGTTGGGGAAGACTCCGTCCAGCAGCAGCACGACGGCATGGTGGTGTTGGAGCAGCGTGGTACTCCGGCAGGGCTTCGCCAAGCATCGCGGGAGGAGGAGGAGGTGTTGGGAGGGGGAGGGTTGCGCCTTGGATGTGGTGCGACTGCCCTCCCACCTCCCCTCTATTTATAGGGGCAAGGGAGAGGGGGCCGGCCCCCTCCAGATGGATCTAGAGGGGGGGCGGCGGCCAAGGGGGGGAAGGCTTGCCCCCCAAGCCAAGGGGGGCCACCCCCTTTAGGGTTCCCCCAAACCCTAGGCGCATGGGCCCTAGGGGTTTGGCGCCCAGCCCACCTAGGGGCTGGTTCCCCCTCCATATTCAGCCCATAGGGCCCTCCGGGGCAGGTGGGCCCTCCCGGTCGACCCCCGGAACCCTTTCGGTGGTCCCGGTACAATACCGATAAACCCATGAACACTTCCGGCGACCGAATAAGGACTTCCCATATATAAATCTTTGTCTCCGAACCATTCCAGAACTCCTCGTTACATCCAGGATCTCATCCGGGACTCCGAACAACATTCGGTAACCACGTACAAATTTTCCCTATAACCCTAGCGTCATCGAACCTTAAGTGTGTAGACCCTACGGGTTCGGGAATCATGCAGACATGACCAAGGCATCTCTCCAGCCAATAACCAACAGCGGGATCTGGATACCCATGCTGGCTCCCACATGTTCCACGATGATCTCATCGGATGAACCATGATGTCGAGGATTCAATCAATCCCGTATACAATTCCCTTTGTCTAACAGTATAGCACTTGCCCGAGATTCGATCGTCGGTATACCGATACCTTGTTCAATCTCGTTACGGCAAGTCTCTTTACTCGTTCTGTAACACATCATCCCGTGACCAACCCCTTAGTCACATTGATCTCATTATGATGATGTCTTACCGAGTGGGCCAGAGATACCTCTCCGTCATACGGAGTGACAAATCCCAGTCTCGATTCGTGCCAACCCAACAGATACTTTTGGAGATACCCGTAGTGCACCTTTATAGCCACCCAGTTACGTTGTGACGTTTGGCACACTCAAAGCATTCCTACGGTATCCGGGAGTTGCACAATCTCATGGTCTAAGGAAAAGATACTTGACATTAGAAAAGCTTTAGCAGACGAACTACACGATCTTGTGCTATGCTTTGGATTGGGTCTTGTCCATCACATCATTCTCCTAATGATGTGATCCCATTATCAATGACATCCAATGTCCATGGTCAGGAAACCGTAACCATCTATTGATTATCGAGCTAGTAAACTAGAGGCTCACTAGGGACATGTTGTGGTATATGTATACACATGTATTATGATTTCCGGATAACACAATTATAGCATGAACAATAGACAATTATCATGAACAAGGAAATATAATGATAACCATTTTATTATTGCCTCTAGGGCATATTTCCAACAGTCTCCCACTTGCACTACAGTCAATAATCTAGTTACATTGTGATGAATCGAACACCCATAGAGTTCTGGGGTTGATCATGTTTTGCTCGTGGAAGAGGTTTAGTCAACGGATCTGCGACATTCAGGTCCGTATGCACTTTACAAATATCTATGTCTCTATTTTGAACATTTTCACGAATGGAGTTGAAGCGACGCTTGATATGCCTGGTCTTCTTGTGAAACCAGGGCTCCTTGGCAAGGGCAATGGCTCCAATGTTGTCACGGAAGAGAGTCATCGGGCCCGATGTCGGTGTCAAAACCGGTGGATCTCGGGTAGGGGGTCCCGAACTGTGCGTCTAGGCCGGATGGTAACAGGAGACAAGGGACACGAAGTTTTACCCAGGTTCGGGCCCTCTCGATGGAGGTAAAACCCTACGTCCTGCTTGATTAATATTGATGATATGGGTAATACAAGAGTAGATCTACCACGAGATCGAGGAGGCTAATCCCTAGAAGCTAGCCTATGGTATGATTGTTGATGTGTATGTTGTCCTA